GTCACTTGAGCTCAGAAACCTGAATCCCTGGTACTTTTGTGGAGACTCATTCCAGTCTTTGGGACTGTTACATTAGTCTGGATTGTCCTGCTGGCCCCAAGCTGCTTTCTGTCTCTCTCTCGTAGCCATTTAGCACACACCAAAACTTCTTGCACTGCAACAGCATGCTTATTATCCCCTTTCCCCCAGGCCAGGTGACTGTCCCAAAGTCACCCAGGGAACCCAACACAATTTTTCTTCCAACTCTAGGCGCTCTGGCTTAGATAGATGGGCACTGCCCTGGAAGACAGCGGAGTCTTGGGCCCTTCCTCTGCCCTCAGTGGGTGTACCCATAGCGTATTGCCCCGAGAAGCTCTCCCACTGCTTCTACAGAAGTTCTCACACAATCCTTCTTGTGGTATGCTAAGGAGGGGAGTGGGGTGAAGGGTAAGACATTAGTGAGATCCTGGGCACAGAAGCAGGAAGGTAGATTTTGAGAAATGAGCCAAGGTGGTGAAAATGTGGCTGGAATTGCAGATATGGGATTCCCTTATAAAATTAGAGTTGTTTTGCTAATGAAGTACTTATTTCCTTCTCTGAATAGGTCACTTAAAAGAATCCCCATTTGATTAATTCGTCATTTATCTAAAACCATTCCTCTGGCATTTAATTTTTCAAATGAGTTATCTCTCTTGCATAAAGCTGTGGGATACTTTCTGCTGTCTCTTTAGGCTTTGAAAAGCAAGTACTTTGATTTTACATCTTGTAGACTTTCAGATGTATCTTTGTCTCTTCTGTTTCCTGGATTCCTTTGGTTTTGTTGTCTTGGAGCTAGGTCATAACAAGTTTATGCTGCCTGTTCATACTGTAAAAACATGACTGTTAAGGCAACTGCATTACATGATATATTAGTCACCTTGCATGTTTTTGAACGCTCTTTCTTTTATAAACAAGATCCTTTTCTGTTGTATTTGTGATTGGTTTCACTGGTTATATTGGATTAGTATGTCCCAGCACCTAGTAATACAATCAAAGAGGTCAGATATCAGCAAACTTTTCCCTTAGAGAACTCTATCTGGAAGCTGGCTTGTGCAGTGATGGGAAAATTTGCATCTAAAATTTTTGTATATGAAGTTGGATGTGGAAGGAAAAGGAGGTTGATGCTGATTAACGTTCATTGCAGTTGGTGGCATGCTTATGTTTTCACTCTCCTCATAGTATGGAAATAACTCTTCTATAGTTATGGCCTGTTAATGAAAGTCTTTCTTCCCATTTACCTGTCTCACTTAAAAAAACCCAAGGTAGGTCTCTCCAGTTCTGTGTTCTCTTGATTTCCCTTCTACTTAGTCATCCTTCATGACTGCTGCCAACTTCCTTTGGGCCAATTCCCCTCCTTTATTGAATCCTACAGGATGAAGTTCTTAGATCTCTGATTTTTCTGCCTCTCTGTTAGTCATCCTTCTTTCTTTTAACCTTGATTTTTGTAAATCTATTAATGATATTAAACTTAATTGGCAGTGTTTTCTTACAACTAGTTTCACAACTCTGTTCTCTTTGTCTGGGTGAATGCTAATCTCTCCAGAGTCCAGCTTGTGTATGATGTAGCTGTGTGACTTTGCATGTGTAACAAAAGTGTGATCACATTCTTCCCATGCAGTTTCACTGGTTCACTACTTGTACATTTATGACCATGTTGATTTATGAATCCTCTGCATCTCATAGATTCATTTCTCTTCTATGCCTAAATGTCATTGCTCATTTACAAATAGTCTAGTTCTGTCCTTCCATATGATTACCCAGCTACTAATGTGAGAACATTTTCCTTTGCAATTCCCATAATCAATGAATGCCTGCCTGTATCCCTGAATCTTGTCACTTCTCACTTTCACTAAAATCTAACCTACAAACATCTTTCATCTCTTCCTTTTTATCTCTACTTTTTAATTCTGTACTTTGTTTTGAGTCATTAGCTCAGAGTTGCTATAGAAAGTGTGTTTCTAAAGTATGTGTTCTACTTTCATTAACATGTAGCAGTGCATAAAATCATACATCTCGGGTGCGTCTACATGTGCAATTAATGTGTAGCAATAAACTCCAGAGTTTATTGTGCCAAGGTGTATCATTTGAATGTGCACCCAGGAGTTAAACTCTGGAGAAATAAACTTCTGAGTTTATTGCTATTTGAACATACACCTGGGATCACAGCACATTGAGCTGGGTTGGAACAGCCCCAGGTAGCAGGGGGCCCAAGAGGTCATCCTGCCAGCTTGGGCTGCTCCCCCTGGCTCAACATGCTGCAGGGGGGCTGGCTGGGGCATGAGGGTGCTTCATCATGGGGTTAGCTGACAGGCAGCCCCTGCACCAAAGCACCTTTACATGTGCACTGTTGTGGAGTTTTTTACTCCACAGAAAGATAGTACTAGTACAAGTACTATCCTGCTGCAGAGTAAATTAGTTTACTTTAACCTAATAGGGCGCACATGTAGATTCTGAGACATTTACTGCTCAGTAAACATATTGTGTAGACGTGCTTCTTTTGTTCTCCTTTTTGAAATATAGGTATGTTGTGACAAAAGGTCCAGCAGAGGTGTTTATTCTTGGTGGGGTATTGATAACCTTGTGTGGGATGATTTGCCATGGCACGATCTTTAGGCTTTATTGTTCTGAAACTGGTTACCGGGAACATCATAGATTTGCTTTGGATAATCCTAATGTTAATTAAGATAATATTTGTCTTACCTCCCCCGCTTAGAACTAATAAAGGACAGTCTGCAGAATTAATAAAGGACAATCTCAGGATCTATCAGTGGTTTAGATACAGGGGTTGGGAGAACTGTGGCTATTTTGGCACATAGCCAAATCCTGCTGCCCTAGGATATGAAGGATATATGAAAGATATGAAGCAACTTCACAGAGGGAACCTTGAAGTCTTTCTCCCACTTGAGCATCTCCTATGAATTTGACCTTAAGAGAGAGCCGAGCAACCCTCATTTCTATGTAGACAGAAAAGGAGGACTCACAAACACTTTTATAGATTTCATTGTCCTCAGAGGGAACTGTAAATTGGCATTTGAGGGTAGGTTTGGATCTGAAGCAGGACTTCCTGGTTGGTAATGAAGTTATTAAACTGCAGTAGCCAGTGCCATATGACAAGATCTGTATTATGGGTAAAGGAAGATTTGGTTTGGTTTCCATTTCCCCCATCTCTTATACACCATAAATACATAGACATCTGAGAGATTCAGTCACTCAATCATCAAGCATACCAGCCCAAGAAGTTCCTTTTATTATTTTTTTAATTCTCTCACAACCTATCCTTCCATAGTTGTTGAAAATTTTCAACAACTGAAACTGATCTTAAGACAAATAAATGCTTATCTAAATCCCAGTTAATCCAGAAGGTAGGAGTTTGTTATACTTAAAGTACATACAACCTCAAATGACTTGAGTTAATAGTTGACTCATGTACTGAAGCATGAAAGGTTATATACCTTATGTCCTTTTTATCTTGTCTAAAATAGTAAATTCTTGCAATTCAAATAAACAAATCTTTCATTCACTGTGCTAAAGTCTTAGCTAAAATATGTCTTGTGGTAATGTCATGGGCTAATTGTGCACTGTAAATGTACTTGCTGTTCAGCAGTTTTTATCATTTGGCACTGTTTGGATAGCAGGCCTGTGTGAAGCAGCAAGTATTCACTTTGGATTCAGATTCGGCCAATTCGGAGGGACAGTGATTCAATTCAGAGATTCGAATCACTGTCCCGATTCAATTCAACCGAATGGGATCCAAAGATTCGTCGCTGCTTCAGAGATTCAGCCATGAACTAAACAGGCAGTAGTCCTCACCAAACTGGACACAGCTGCCTCCAGCTGGTAAGTCTGTTGTGATGGGCACAGCGGGGAGGGAAAGGGCATGGGGGAGGAGGGGAATTGGGGCTGGGACAAGCTGTCTGGCCAGGGC